CCCCGCGCCTGCCCCCGCGCCCGCGCCGTAAACGTCGGCCAACAGGCGCTTCATCTCGTCCAGCGACGAGCTGAGCATGAGGATGTAGTTCCTGGCCAGCAGTAGGGTGGCGATCTTGGACAGCTTGCGCACGGAGGGCCCGTGCGCGTAGGGCATGACCTCGCGCAGGCCGTCCATGGCCACGTTCAGGTCGTGCATGCGCTTGCGCTCGCGGCTGTTGATCTTCAGCCGGATGGACTGCAGCTCGTGCTCCGACAGCAGCTTGCGCTCCGCCTTCTTGGAGGCCGCCGAAAGCGCGTCGGCGGCCGCGTCCTCGTCCGCGTCGCCGTCCTCGTCGTCGTCGTCGTCGTCGTCGCGGCCGCGGAGGCGGCGGAGGCGGCGGCGCGGGAAATGGTGGCGCAGATGCGGCGGCCCCGCCGCGGGCGAGTCGCCCTGCGTGGATGACACGGCGCCAGGGAAGCCGTGCGCGGGGCGGCGAGGCCTGCACGGGAAGGCGGCGTCCGCTTCCGGCGACGACACGCGGCTCGCGTCCGACTCCATCGTGCGAGCGCACCTGTCGGGACGACACCGCATGACGTCAGTGCGACCGGGTCACCGAGAGTGCGCCGTCGCGTCCGAAAGTCGGACTCAGCTCCTGAAACTTGCGGCCCGTGTGTGTGCGTGTGCGTGTGCGTGTGCGTGTGCGTGTGTGTGTGTGTGTGCGTGTGTGTCCAAAAATCAATTGAAAGCCTGCGATTTTGTATCCAACCCACTGTGGCGGACGTGGTTCCGTTTTCACAGCGAAAAAAAAAAAAACCCGCTTTCACCTCATTGAAAAAGTGCCCCCCCCCCCTCGAAGCTTTCTTTTGATCCCCGTTTCTCGGACGCCAAGAAACGGGACGTTCATATTCGTCACGAGTTTCGTTTCGGTTTTTTTTTTTTTTCGTCAAAACGGAAAGATGCAAGCCATCGTCTCGGCAAACCGCAGTGCGCCGCGGACGACGCGATTAACTCGAGACGTGGAACACGTTTTGCTATTTGGCGCAGAAACCAACGACTGCGACCGAGACCAAAACTGGTCCGTTGGGAAGCGACGCCGTCGTCCCGGTTGCCGGTTTGGCGGCACTCGGTCGCCGCGGGCCTCGCCCGGCGCTCGCCGCCCATTCCCCGAAAAGCAAGCGGGCGCTCCTCCGAACTTACCCTCGTCTATTTGGGGGCCGAGTTCCCCAGAAAGGTCCAAAAAGGCCACCCGAAAAAAAAATCAAGTAAAAAAAAAAAGGAAAGGAAGGGGTGGGGGCGGGGGTGGGGGCTCACGCGAAATCCGCTTGACGTGATGCGGACCGCGCGGACGACGCGGACGTCCTTCCACGCGCGGGGCAGCAGCAGCAGCAGCAGCAGAAGCGGCGCAGTGACGCGCCGCCGGCTCTTGGCGCCGTTTTATACAGTGGGGGGGGGTCACCGGGACAACAACACTCAGTCTGTGTGCGCAACCGACCAAGGGAGGGCGGGGCAGCATCCCAAGTGAAGTCGCGCACGCGCGCGAGCGAGCACGAAGCTCTCCAACGCTTCAGTTGAGGCGCGCGCACTCGCAGGGGCCGCTCGGGCCCACCTGCCCCCGCTTGGCCCAAGTGCCGTTCGGAGGCGGGCGCGCCCGACGTTTTGGGTGCGGCGACGCCGCGCGTGGAGGTCGCGGAGGTGCGTCGCCACGTGACCGCGACGAGGACGGCGGCGGCTGCGGCCTTTTGCGAGGACGACTTTGGAAGCGAGCGGTCGGCTTCCGACTGTCATGTTGTCTTGGACGCGGCAAGAGCTCCCGTGGGGATTTTTCCGAATCTTTCCCGAGTCGGCGTCATGTTGATTTGTGCTCACGTGTTGAAAAAAAGAAAAAAAAAAAGGAGACACGCACGACTGATGAGTGACATTTTTTTTTCCCTTTTTTTCTTTTCAATTGTTCAAATTACGGTTCAGGGCTTTTGCTTGAACGTTTTTTTTTGGGGTGGCCTCGCTGCGAGACGCCCACTTCGGGTTGTCATGGTAACGGGCAGGTCGGTCAAAACATCAGCGAAGTGAGCTGGGATCGGCTTTTCTTTTCTTAGCGCTTGCCTTCAGTTCAAGTCGCAACCAAGTCGACACAAACAAAATCCTGAAAAAAAAAAATCATCTAAAGTCGCAAACCAAAACCGCGACTGAAGCAAAAACGACAAGGCTCGGGTCTCCGGTTCACCGTGACGCGGGCGGAAGGTCTCGGCTCCGGTTTCAGGTCCACGATGGAAGTGCGGTCTGGAGTTGAAATCCCTCGTTTGGGGTCCACGGCTCAGGCGCGGACTCGAGGCAAAGACGACCACAGATCGTCGTCGTCGTTCGCGCTCCTCCCCCAAAAAGGGAAGGGAAAAAAAGCAAAATGTTGAAAAGTCGCACCTTTGTTCACCTTGATGAAATCCAGAGAGAACTCAATCCGAAACGAACAAAATCCTGAGAACAAAAAGAATCCAAAGTCGCAAACCAAAACCGCGACTGAAGCAAAAACGATCAAGAAGCGAAACGTGACCGCGACAAACACGACAGCGGCAAACGAACGATGACCCGACCCCCGAGCACTCCATCATGACCTAACGCGCAACAGGTGTGCAGCTGCAGGGAGAGCCCTACAGCGCCACCTGTTGGTCACAAAGCAAAACATGCTTCGCGTCTCCGTTGGCGTGCGCAAGAAAGCAAAGCAAAATGTTTCAGCTGGCGGGGCCTCGCCCAAAACCTTTTGCCAAGTTTTCATTCCGATTCTCGGGCTTCGAACTTGTCCGGAATCCGGGAGGCCCTGGCGCTCTCGTTCCAATGACATCATCTGGAAACGCCAACCAAAGCCGTTCCGCGGAAGGCCCCGCCCGCTTTTTGCGCGGCTGAAGCTCGACGAGCCGAAAGACAAAAAAACGCATTTCGAGGGCTCAATGCGAATGCGAATTTGGCAGCCGGCATTTCTTTGGGCGCCGCTGTCGTTGTTCTCGCGGCAACCGAAAAGCCGCGACGTGGTTGAAATCCTGTGCTCCGAGTTTCTGGGGTGGAAGTTTGGTGAAGTGCTCCCGTTCCAGATGGGCAAAGGAGCCCCCCCCCCCCCCACACACACACACACACACAAACACAAAAGGGATTTAGAGCGACAATACGGGCCAACAAAAAGTAATCCGTCAAGCCTCGTTGCCGTTTCTTTGGTTTCTCTGGCGCTCGAGCGCCATTTGTTTGCCGGCCGCACCGCCAAGTGCGTTCGCGCATCCGCCGAGCAACGACGCTTAAAACCATACGCCGAGGTGGGGGTGTGTGGGGGGGGGGGCGACTATTAGGAGCTAATTAAGTGTCGGGGCCCGTTTGGGTTCCCGCGCCAATGGAGAGCTTACAAGCTCTTTAGACAGCGTGACAAATTGAATGGCAGCGGGCCGGCTCGGCCCATTCTTCCCGCCGCCCCATCTGGCCCGCCGGCGCAGCAAAAAGGGGATTTGCGCCGCCGTGTGGGAGCGAGCGAGGGGATAAGGGGCTGTTTTGGAGGATTGGCCGGGGGGGGCTTTGTTCTCGGTCGCTCCTCGCCTCAATTCAACAGGCGGAGATTTGCTTTGGCCAAATGCTACAAATGTTTCGACAAGGCGCTCTGTGATCCGGCGGGGTCGCGGGAGGAGCGGGCGCCCGCCGCCCGTCGCCCGAGCGCCATGCGGATGAATATATTGGCACGGCTATTCCGGGCCCCAAAGGGCCTCCCCCTGCTTGCGGCCGACCCCCCGCTGGCCAAAAACCGCGAGTGAGCCAGATGGAAATTTCAACTTCTCTGCAAATGTTCTGGCCAAGAACAGGTTCCACGTGCCCCCCCCAAACCACCTTGCATTTTGCTGCATATTTGCGGCAGCCCCACTTCCGGACTCGCCAATAATACATCACCGGATGACAATTCAAAGCTCAACGATGACGAAAATTGCTGGTGAGTGGATGAAGCCATCAAGGTTGACATCTCCGATCGGAGTGAAACTGCACCTTGACATCCTCGGCCACCTTCCCCACAAAGGTGAAATGCTCAAAAGCTCCCTCGCAGATTTCAGGGCGGGGGACGGCTGTCGGGTATCAAATTCGGGTTCGGGTTTGGGTGATTTTCAATTCATTCCCTTGAAAGCGTCGTCTGTTGATAGGAAGTTCGTTGGGCGATCAAGTGCTGTGAGCTGATGCTGATTTTTTTTTTTTTTTGGGGGGGGTCTTTGGCAAGCTAGTGTCTTGCGGGATCAGGGGGTGACTGTTGGGGTGTGTGGTGGAGGGGTTTGGGGGTGTTTGCGAGCGTGAAAGGGGTCCGGGGCGGTTCACATCGCCGGCCCATTGAGGGCGGCCCCTCCCCTGTTGTAAAACAAGCTCCCGTGGGCTCGCCTGAACACAGGGGGCTTTGTGGCCCCCCCCCCATCACAGGAAACATACCACCCAAAGTGCTACACCCCCCCCGCCCCCCCCAATCTTGTTCAGGAGGCGGGGCCGCCATCGGTGGCCAGCAACAGGTGGGGTTAATGAGACGAGGGGGAAGGGGGGCGGAGGGGGTCCGTAAAGGGGCGGTCCCGCAAGTTTCCGTAATTCGGGGGCCTAATGGCAAGATTGATGGACGGAGACAGCGAGACAAAACCGAGGGGCGGTGATGAAATGTAGAGGGGCGGCGGCGGGGCAGGGGGGGGGGGGGGCGCCAAGGGGAATCCTGAATGGCGTCTCGGCCGACGCCGGAGTCACACGGACGCGTTTGGCACCTCCTGGGGGGCTAATTAGCAGGGAGGTCTCGGCGACAAGGCGGCGGAGAAAGGCCGCAGGATGCGGGGTGAGCGCGGGTCAGGGATGACCACCTACCAGGAGAGCGCCACCCCCCCCCCCCCAACCCATCCAAGGCGAAAACCTTGCCATCTTGTCATCGTTCTTCACCTCGGTTGCCCGGCGGACAATTGACTCGAGGACCTGACTTGAGGAGAGGGAGGGGGGTGGGGGTCCTCAAAGTCTTGAGCACCCTGAAGTGGACACGCACGCACGCACACACACACACACACACACACACACACACACACTAAACGGAGTGGGACACTTGTTGTTTCTCATTAAACGTCCACCTGCTTGGTCATTTGAATCGGTAGCTCACGGCTGTTCCTAATATTTTGACCCCCAATGGAGGTATAGAAAGTAACAGACTGGAGATCAATATACAGGATGTACAAAGTGTGTGTGCGTATAGATCGAGAGAGAGATGTAGCCAGACCTAGCCTGCCCAGCGTGGCTTTTCTCCGGGTACTCTGGCTTCCTCCCACATGTTGTTGCTTGACGCGTGCCCTGCGATGGGCCGGCGACCGGTTCCGCGTGTCCCCCGCCTTGAAAATATGTTTGCGAAGTATCAGTAACTTTGACTGTATGGATTCCAAATCCGTGCGTGTGTGTTTAGCACGCGGGCGCCAATAAGACGGCGTGCGGTGTTGGCTCCTATCACGAGGTGGGGGCCGGCGGGTTCTGGGGGCGCTCGGTCGCTCCCAATGAGAAACACCACGCAGCCGTTTCATCGCCACTCATCCTCATCATCTCCCCGACGATCTTCACTTCCACGCTGCGACGACACCACCAAACGCACGAGCTCCATTTGGGTTTCCAAGAAATGAAAACAATTTCAATGTGACAGAAGCTCCACCCACATGCTAAATCATCGCGAACTGACGCCGCAAATTTGAGCACCGTGTGAACCTTAAAACGATATGACTTCAAAGGGCAAAGTTCATTTGTCTCAATTTTCTCCCCATTTCCCCAAAACGAAACCACCACACTGATGTGAAAACGCGGATGCTCCAAAGCGCAGCGCTAATTTGGCGAAAAATGACACTCTGATGACACCAGGACAAAACCACCATGGCGACGCTAAATCACGACAAAGATCAAAGAGGTCAAAAGGTCCTCTCATAATGTCAGAGTGACCCCCCCCAAAAAAAAAAAGAAAGACCACTAACCTGCCATTAACTAAAACTAAAAGGCTAATTGAGCTAACGTAGCTGAAATCAGTTCAAATGCTAATTCAGCATAAATGAGCCTCAGTGATCCTCTCTTCCAATACAAAACTTCAAAAGAGAACGAGAACTTGGATGAGATTCGCATCCGATTGAGATAATAATTCAAACGCAAAGTGTTAAGCTCAAATTCAGACTCACGCTGCCGTTGTTAGCCGGGCGTGACTTTGGGGCTCGCCGCGCCCATGTTCACGCTACTCCCGCTAGCGGGTCGTTTTGAGTTTGCGCTTCCCTCGAGTGCGGATGACGCCTTTCGTCGATTGCTGTTGCTTTGATGCCAATGTCGCGATTGTGGAGTCAAAGCTGACGCTAGCAGTCGCACGCCACAAACAACATTGTCGCTATTGTAGCCTTCCTCATTAGCACGAGGCTAACGATCGGCTCAATAAGGGCGGCACGTTGTCCC